AGAATCTGATTCTTATCTTGTAAAACTTGGCATACTCCATCAAAGACTCTTTTCTGGTCTTTGTTCAATTGCGACATCATTTGCGATAAATCAATCGGGTCGTCAATCTTACCAAAATCTTCCAGATCTTTCATCGCGTCGTCAGCTTCTATCGGATTACAATCCAGTTCATCGTCATCGGATTTGTCTCTGTCTGCTGTTTTCAGATCATTTTCGCGCTTCTCGATTAATTCAGCAACGTTCTCAAAAGCTTTCTGTATTTCTTCGAGCCTTTCGTGATATTTCATTACCTTCGTTAAAACAGACTCTGAATTCTTAAAGGCATCCGTGTAAGTCTCGAATGTACCTTTGAGTTCACTCAAATCTCTCCATGGTTTGAACAGAAGAAGCAGCGAGTAAAAGTATTTTTCGGGCTCAGTTTTTATATTAAATCGATAATGGTTAATTAAATAACCCTTTTTTCGTTTTTTTAAAAATAAACCCGATGCCAGTTTGTAACACTTGACTTCGTCATTATTTGACATCTGTTTCGTAATTTCCCAGAATCTGGCAAAATCGTACAAATTCAATGATTCTAATTCCTGAGGTCTATTTGGATAGTAATCATCGATGAGTGACGAACAGTAAATATTCGTAGAATTTTCATCAAGAGCTTAAATTTCATTAAATGTTTTAACTTTTCTATTTCTCACCTCATTAACATCGATCCATTTGACCATGGTATCATTATCCGTACCGTACAAGGGATTCCCTAATAGTGTATCCGCAGCTTCTAAAGCACCGCATTCTCTGTTATTTAATGAACGCATTGCAAAATTCCACAGTTTCGATGCCAAGGACTTATTCGAATCTATCACTTCAAAGTCTGTATTGCATTTTTCCGACTTTGTCGTGTATTTTGTTAAATATGAGTTTAAAAACTCTGATTTTTCTCTAATAAATTGTATGTCCATATTTCCCTTCCAGGCTAATTTGATAGACGGATTATAATCATTTATAAACCTTTCCGACTCCTTGCGAGGAAGATCGTACAATCTGCTCTTACTGCGTAAATTTTTTCTACCGACTATCGAAGTGATAACGTCTCTTAAAACGAAATTCTCAGTAACTGGCCGAGGAAAATCGAACCGACACTTTCTGTATATATTAGTTTCCGTTTTTTTCGTACGCATGCAATACGAGTTATGTTTATGATTCTGATCACTTATTACCGTATCGTACAACGTTGGCGAAACATTTTCATCTGGAATTTCACACGTTACGTATTTTTGAATAAACGTAGCAACTTCTTCATCCGGCGATTTTCCTAATACTGGAGCATCTTTTATCCAAATCATACAATGCATGTGCTGGATACTTCTACGTTGATATTCCAGTCGCCAGAAGTAATGAATAACCTTTCCTATAGGATTATCGGACGAACAAATAAAATCAATCATGGCTTTGAATTTTATGCACATGAATCTAGAAGTACTTACAGGATCGTATGCGATTAGTTCGTTGATGCCTAACTTCTCTTTATCGGGATTCATATCTCGTAAATATTCACCCAAATCGGACCATTTCCATTCACTAGGACTCAAAGTCAAAAACCACGTCGCTGGACCGTAATGCAAAGTCATGCATTTTACATTATTGGACGGTTGTCGCCAAAATTGATCCGTATTTCTCAATTTTGCGAAAATACTCATTAAATTCGATTCTAATTGGTAACCTTTCAATTCGTTCAAGTATCTACCAGCAGTGTATCTCTCTCGTGGGTTAGTAACCATCATCGTATAATAGATACCACTTTTCAACTGTCGGTAGTTAGCATCATTGAGAAGGAAGAACAGATACTGCAGATTCAACCTGAATCTACTATGTTTCGACATCAATCGTGTTCTAATAAATAAATATTCCGGCAATGCAAAGTTTCTATCTTCTCGTTGTCCATTGACACCATCAGGATATAAATCAGGGAAACACATGACATCCAGATATTTATAACGATTATCCATTGGAAAATCTTCAATTTTCACCATTTGATAAAGCTTCAATGCAGATTCGTTATCGATTCTTTTCGCGTGTATTGGGTATATTGTATACTGATCGTTAATATCCGAATGTTCAGTGATTTGTGTGAGAAAAGCCGTACGTTTTAAAACGGTTTGATCATTATTATTTTTGTTTTGCTGTACATTGTACAAATTCAATGCTGGTAATTCCTCAACCACCTCATTTATTTCGTCATTGTCGCTTTCCTCATCGACAATCCTATATTCTGTTTCCTGCAACTTATCCTTTAATAGATCATCAGATGACGCTGGAAGACGAATTTTTGAGTAATGAGGATTATTTTCTTTCAACCATTGTAAAGCCTTATACATTTTATTAATATCTACCAAATTTTCCCAAACCACTTTAGATTTCTTGGGTATACCTCGAACGAGAATGTGCAACTCGTGATTCAAATTTATAGGATCTTCCGGAGGACATACCTTATCCAATGTTTCTTGTAAAGGCAGAGGCAAATGAAATGTTCTACCTTTTCCTAAACAGAGTTCGATTATATAAGTTTCTTGATTTAAAATGTGCTATATTTAAATCATTTAATTATTTTTTTCGTTCAAGTACAATTAACAGCAAAAACTGCATATACGTAGGTATGTATTTGACTCTACTGCCATTACTTGAAACAAATACATTATTCGATATTAACAAATTGGAACTCTGGAATTACGAGTAATTATTTTTCATTGTACAGACTAGGTTTAAATTTTTGAGGACCTTCTTTTGAACATGGCTTGACCTTTTCATTTTTATGATTTTTTGAAGATAGGGTGAGAGAGGACGAATGAGGGTAAGAGAAGAGAGACGAAAGGGGTGAGAGGGAATGAAAGAGGGTGAAAGAGGGTGAGAGAGAATGAAAGAGAGAGAGTGAAAGAGGACGAAAGAGGGTGAGAGAGGGCGAAAGAGGGTGAAAGAGGGTGAGAGAGGACGAAAGAGGGTGAGAGAGGACGAAAAAGGGTGAAAGAGTCGAAAGAGGGTTGGGAGTGGGGGTGGGGGTGAGGGTGGGAAGAGGGGGTAAGGGTGGGGGTGGGGGTGGCGGTGGGAGGAAAGGGGTGGGTGGAAGTTGAGGGAGGTGTGAGTGAAAGGTGAGAAGAGATTTATACGCGGACAGAGAAGAAGAAGAAGAAGAGAAGAAGAAGAAGAAGAAGAAGAAGAAGAAGAAGAAGAAGAAGAAGACGACGTTACTTCATTTTTCATGAAAAACGTCACTTTTTGACCGCTTGTATCTCCAGAACGGCTTGACCGATTTTATTTTTTCTTGGCTCAAATTACTCGTGGCGATGCCGCCTTTCAGGTTATATTACGTGCAATTCAAAATTTTTTATATTTTAGTAGTTCTACACCCCCAAAAAATGGACTTTGATGGTGCAGGATAAGGAGACTTGTAGTGTCTTTTAAGGTCTTTTAGGGTTTGAACATGGCCGGAGACACTACCGCGTCTCCTGATACAAATAGAAATATTAAATATAAAGAAACATATCTTTGTATATGTATATATATATATATATATATATAATATATATAAAATTATTATATTTTATTATTATATATCCTTATATACCTGTTTTTCATTGGTATATGTGTGTGTGTGTGTATATTATATATATATTTTTTACAGTATTAGAAGAATATATATCAAAACTAATTTAAGCAGTATACATAATAACAAATTGAATAAAATCATTGGATGCGGATCATTAACGGACGGTGTTTATAAATTAGAAGTACACATTGTTAATTTTGTAGATGATTATTACGAAATGGATATCCGAAAAAGTGACAAAATAGAAATTATTGGAATGATGAGCAATACAGGTATACAATATTACATAAATCAAAATATATTAATTTTTTTAAATTATATATATAAACCAATACAAACTAAGAAATAAAATTTTCTCTCTCACAAAACCATACACCTGCCCATATGCCCATCATTTCACACACACGCATGTACGTACATCTGCATCTTCATGTACATATAAACACATACATATCCAAATTCATACCCACATACATATCCACACACTCCACACATATGAACACACTCTTGTACACATGCACCCACGCGCGCACATTTATAAAACAACATGCTTGTACACTCATACAAATACTCACACGTTTGCGTACACACATACACATTGCATATTCACATACATGTTCATATACATGAATTCATATTCACACACACGTCCACACATGCGTTAGCATACACGCACACACACATTCACATGAATTTATTCTTATACTCATAAAATTTCTCTCTCTTTATTTTATAATTAATCTGATATTATACATATCACATATATTATATGTAAATACAAACTAAATATCATTGTAATGATATTTTATTACTTCAGTTAAAAAGATTTAATAAAATATATAATACTATAACAAAATATTTATATTGATGTGTGTATTTCAAGAGAGAAAATTTTACGTACGTATCAATTTTCAATAAATTTTTTTAATAATTTATTTTTAGTTTTTATTGGTTCATGCATTAAATAAATAATATGTATATTTAAATAAATAATATACAGGGTGCCCAAATTCGCGAATTCGGAATGTACAGCGTAATTGTTCGTGCCAAAAGAAACAACTTTTTCCTCTGACAAAATTACGTCTGAGCACTACTTTTTAAATGAGAATGACTTTAATCTAACGAATGAGCGTTCTAGATTTCGCATGAGTTAAGGTACCTTTTCATGCTGACGCTGAAACGCTTGACGCTCGTTTTGTTCGTGTTCACTCTATGTAATTTTATCTATGGTTGACGCTAAAAAGTTCGTTTCTACCCAACTTTCCAGCGTTGACGGTGGTTGACAGGTCATGCTTAATTTATTAATCGAAAAATTGTTTGTTTATCATAAAATTTCATCATGCAAAGCGAAGAAAAGGAAATAATTTAATAAATATGAAGTAATACTTTGAATATATATCTGTATAATATGATAGCAGAATACACATGTGAAATGTTTTGAGGTTATACATAATTGAATTAAGAAATATTAATAATTTTAGAATTTTCTCGTGAAATGTAGCTATTGTAAACAAACCTGTTTAAATAAAAAAGCTGCCCAACATTTATGTATTCGAGAATTTGACGAATTTTTTGTTGATCCAGATACATATGAATTTTGGGCATACGATGGTAAAGTGAATAAATTAATATAAATATTTAGTTTTGAAGTTTATTATTGAATATATTAATTTATTAATATTGAATTTATTAATTTTTCATAGGTAATAAAATTGTTTCTGAATTATCTGACGAGCATTTTGCTCAATTAGAAAATATTGCTAATAAGGAAAATGCCAGTATTAATATCAACCAAAGTATCTCCAATAAAAAAGTAAAAACATCCAAAAAAACCAAGGCTCCTCTTAATGTTGTTCAATTAAAACTTGACCAAGAAGAGCAACTGATTTTTGAAGTTATGAACAGGATACTTCTGTGGGATTTTACAATCCCATTAAAAGGAGCAAAATCATAAAAACCAAACTATGGTTAGAAGTATCTGACTCACTTAAAGGTATTTACTTAATTTTTATATAATAATTTCTTTTTATGAAAAGTCCTATGAATAGTTGAATAATTCTAATACGAATATTATTTTCAACAGGTGCTTTTACCCCAGATGGTGCTAAAAAAAAGTTTAAGGCATTAACTGACACATTTAGAAAAATCATTCGGGATGAGCAATGTCCAAGTGGTTCCGCTCGCAAAAATAATGGCAATAAATGGGCTCATTACGATTCCATGCAATTTTTGAGAGATCATTTCACTCCAAGAGAGTATGTATACATATATGTTGTACACCCATGGAATTTAATTCTGTCCCTCAAAAATTTTCAACAATCTGAAATGAGCACCTTTCTATATTAATGGTCACAGTTCGTGTACAATAAACAGCTTACGTTTGGCTGTAAGCTGTCTATCGTACATGGACGGTGAGCATTAATGTAGAAAGGTGGTCACTTGTCAGATTGTGAAAATTTCTGAAGGACAGAATTAAATTCCATGGGTGTACTACTTAATACTGTTATTATTGATTATATTTTATTCTCTATTAATCTTACATATTTATTTTATTTTCAGATCTGCAACAAATTGCGAATCTGAGGAAAATGATTCTGATGACATTAATTTATCTAGTTATGAAGTTGATAATGACAGTGTAAAAAAAACAGCAGAAGGATTACACGTAAAAGGAAAAATATTGGTGATAAGGACGATCTAAGTTCATCTATTGATAAAGTAGCAGAAGCTATAAGTAATTCAGGTTCAAGCAGAGACATAGTTTTGCCACCACCCCCTGAGCTTACAGAAATAGATTACTGTTTAAATATAATAGGCAGTCAATTGAAGAAAATTCCAGAAGAAATGCAATCAGATGCAATCCACAAAATGTTGCTGTTATCTTACGATGTTGTTCAAGAATATAACAATTAATAATGCCATTATTTCTTAACAATAATTAATAAAATTAAGTATTTGTTTTTTTAATTATATTTTATTCATATAAATTTTTAACAAATGTGTTTATAATGCGTTAATAAAGTTTCTCACAAATCAATTGAAAAATGTTTTATTTATATGATTTCCAAAGTAAGTATATAGTCATACATTTACAATAATTTTACAAAAGTTAATATTCAATATGTATATATACTCTAACTTTTTAATGATGACAAAATGGATGACGGAATATGTAAATATAATTGAAAAAGAAAACAAAAAAGGAATATAATCCATGTAGCAACTTTATCAGTAATAATAGCAATGAAAAGAAAGAAAAAGAGATCATATACTCCAAAACGTTACTGGATTGAACCTGTATTTAGATAAAGAAATTTACATGGATTTTACGATAAGATATTTCCTGTGTTACAACTTGAAGATTTATGATTGATAAATTATTTTAGAATGTCATCATTAGTTTAGTAATTTAACAGAATTTTAATTATCACAGTCATACTGCCAGGAAATAGCGCCTTCACCATTAAAATAGGCACAAAATTCATCTCTTATGGAAATAGCATTACGAGTACTTGAATTTGTTCCTGTTCTTGTTATCTCTTGGAATGCCCAGCCATCTTCCCTTAGACTGTTCCATGTCCCAGGGATCAATATACCATCTGAATACCGATCAACTAGTTCAGGAGATACATATTGATTATTATGTACATCCTTTTTTCTTAACCAATTATGTAAGCAAACAGTAGCTTGTATAATTTTTTCTGCAGTTTTCACTTTGCAAATGATTGGTCTTCTAAATATTCTCCATTGGCTCGCTAATATGCCAAAAGTATTTTCTATGATACGTTTGGCACGACTGAGACGATAATTATAAATTTCTCGTTCTTTAGTTAATCCCTTTCCAGGATAAAGTCGAAGCAAGTAATCAGTTAATGGAAAAGCTTCATCACCCACGAGACAATATGGCATATCTGGCCCTTCTGCAGAAAGTGGAGACGGACCTGGTAAATTTATTTGCTTTGAATTAAATTTTCTTCCTACAGTGGAATTCTTAAATATAGCGCTATCACTGCCCCTTCCAAATGCTCCAATATCTACATATCTAAAAACATAATTGGCATCACAAATAGCAAGAAGGACAATGCTATGTGTGCCTTTGTAATTATAATATGATGACCCAGAATTTCCAGGACACTGAAAATAAATTTGTTGTAATTAATAAATTATAGAAAACATCTTTACATTATATGTGTATGTATATTCTATTCAATACTAATATTTGCGAGGTCTAACAACCATAAGTAATATTATCAAGGAAACATGTGAAACTATATGGATTTATCTTAATAGTCTTGTGCTTCCACTAAGATTAAAAAAAGAAAAATGGTTGTCTATTGCAAACGATTTTGAAGAACTATGGAATTTTAACCATTGCATTGGGGCCATTGACAGTAAACATGTAGTGATACAAGTAAGTATAGTCATATATATATATATATATATATACAGGGTGATTCAAAACAACCGTTTGTCCTTAAAATGTCGTATTCCTGACTCAATTCTAAGACGATTTTTCCTTTGCCAAAATTTTATCCGAAGCTTAGTTTTTGAAATATAAAAAGAAATAGTTAGCGAATTACAGCACGAGTACGGGCGGTAATCAGGAGCGGCGCAACACATTATCCGACGCGGGCGATTACGTGGGCGCTCGAAGCGATCAGCTGTTTGTTACACGCGGCGTGTGTGTGTGTGTGTGTGTGTGTGTACGCGTATACACACACACACACACACTCTCTCTCTCTCTCTCTCTCTCTCACTGATTCTTACCTTGTAGAGATGTTTGATGTCCTTTGACGAATAATTGTTGCCTGACTGGATACAATCCGATATTGACACACTGTGACACACTGCATAATGAAATCATTTTTTTGTAATAAATTCTATTGACACTTTGACTCACGCACTTGATTAAAAATTATTGTAATAAATAACTGATTACAAATTACAACACATAATCACAATCTGAGAGAATTTTCTCTTAGAATTTGCCCTGAAAATTGTGGTAATCGTAGGATAATATTGTATGGAAAAAATTTTATTAGAATTCCTCTAATTAATATTTATCACATTCAAAATAATAATATCTATCACAATAAAATATGAAACATGTTTTATTAATTTTACTAAACCGTAAAGTAAAATTAATGAAATATATTTTATATTTTATTGTGATAAATATTATTATTTTGAATGTGATAATTATTAATCAGAGAAATTCTAATAAAATTCTTTCCATACCATATTCTCTTACAATTACTATAACTTTTAGGGTAAATTCTAAGAGAAAATTCTCTCAGTGTTTTGATTAATTATTAAAAATTACTTGTAAAAACGCGCGGCGCGCACAGCACACGTTACTCGATGCGGACGGCAATAGTTTACACGGCAAGGACACGACAATCATAATCACAATCTAAGAGAATTTTCTCTTAGAATTTACCTAGAAAATTATGGTAATCGTAGGACATTATGATGTGGAAAGAATTTTATTAGAATTTCTCTACTATTTATCATATTAAAAATAATAATATGTATCACAAGAAAATATAAAATATGTTTGATTAATTTTACTATACAGTTTAGTAAAATTAATCACACATATTTCATATTTTATTGTGATAGATATTATTTTTAATGTGATAAATATTAATCAGAGAAATTTTAATAAAATTCTTTTCATACCGTATTGTCTCACAATTACCATAACTTTTAGGGTAAATTTTAAGAGAAAATTCTCTCAGTGTACCGATTAATTATTAAAAATTACTTGTAAAAAGGCACACGTTACTCGATGCGGACGACAATTGTTTACACGGCAAGGACACGACAACAGACTGCGGCGACGGACGACGCGACGCGTCGCGACGCTTCGCGACACGTCTAGACGATAACAATCACGCGGCGTTGCCGAACATGTGATTGACGCGAGACATGTATTAAAACGTATAATAATTATGTTATTAAAAAAGGCATATTATAACGTATTATAATTTTTTACGTTATAATACATTTTTTTTAATGACTTAACATTATCCGCCCGTTTTGCCCTTTCTTTTTAAGCGAGACGTGAGAAAAATAATTATGTTTTGCGAACAAGATGTTCCATGTATAAATGTATTGGTCGCTCTGAAAAGAGCGGATTGACTTTGGTCGCTCTGAAAAGAGCGGATTAACTTTGGTCGCTCTGAAAAGAGCGGATTAATTTATAATAGGTGCTCAAAATGACCACCATCCATCCTTATGCAAGCTCTCATGCGTTTAAATAAATTTAATTGCACGTTCTCCATTACTTCCTCTTCGATATTCCAAATTACATATCGCAATCTGGTTTCTAAGTCGTCGACGTCCTCGGGAAGCGTTTTGTATATTGATTCCTTACAGTATCCCCATAAAAAGAAATCAAGAGGATTAAGGTCCGGGGATCTTGCGGGCCAACGTATCGGGCCATACCGACCCATCCAACGTCCAGGAAACTGCTCGTTCAAGTAGTTTGTTACAATCCTGGCGTTGTGTGGTCCAGCACCGTCTTGTTGAAAGAACATTTTATTTCTTTCAAATAGTGGCACTTCTTCTAAAAAATCGGGCAGATTTTCTTTCAAAAGTTCCACGTACGTCTGGCCAGTTAAAATATCTGGTAGAATAACGGGCCCAAGTATTTGGGTACCCATTATTCCAGCCCAGATATTTATTTTCCAACGTACTTGAAAATTTTTGAGCCGCGTTACTCTGGGATTTTCTTCGCTCCAATAATGCATATTGTGCGAGTTAAAAATACCTTCTTGTGTGAATAGTGATTCATCACTGAATATCACACAGAAAATCTGGGATCTCGATCCACTTGTCTCAAAAAATTTTCGCAAAATGTTCTTCTTGCCTGATAATCTTCAGCTCGTAAATGTTGCACGCGTGTATAATGAAACGCGTGCAACTTTTCTTCTTTGAGCGTTCTTTGTACCGTCGAGTAAGAAAAGTTGTGTTCTCGAGCAACCACTCGAATACTCGTTTCAGGATTATCTTCGAAAGCACGTACAATTCGCTCCGTATTTCGCAAATTTCTTGCATTGCGATTTCTTCCAGTATCGTGTTTATCCGGAAGGACACTGCCAGTCTCGTGTAATCTCTGAGCTGCTCGAAGTATAACAGGAGCCGATGGATGTCTTGCTCGATTTGGATATAATTCGGCGTATCTTCTTGCAGCTACGTGATAATGACACTCGCCGAGTGCCATTAGCATATCGTAATATTCTTCGTTTGTGTACGCTGCCATATCGTCCTCTTAACTCTTGTAATAATCGAAAGATTATTGTTTGCATTATCAATCTTCATTTAATTTATACAATCCGCGGGGTGTCGCGATTTCCCCCTCCACGCCTTCCGCGTCGAATAGCGGCACGCGACACCCGCGACAGCGGCCACCCGCGAATCGTATAAATATAAGATGCAGATCGACAATGCAATCAATCATCAATCGGCTCCCGTCATACGAAGAACTCAGAGACGAAAAGCAAACAAGAAAAAAAGTTGCACGCATTTCATTACACACGCGTGCAACATTTACGACCAGAAGATTATCAAGACGAACGTTTTGCGAAAATTTTCTGAAAAAAGTAAATCGTTTCCCGAAGACGCTTCCCGAGGACGTCGACGACTTAGAAACCAGATTGCGATATGTAATTTGGAATATCGAAGAGGAAGTAATGGAGAACGTGCAATTAAATTTATTTAAACGCATGAGAGCTTGCATAAGGATGGATGGTGGTCATTTTGAGCACCTATTATAAATTAATCCGCTCTTTTCAGAGCGACCAAAGTTAATCCGCTCTTTTCAGAGCGACCAAAGTCAATCCGCTCTTTTCAGAGCGACCAAAGTCAATCCGCTCTTTTCAGAGCGACCAATACATTTATACATGGAAC